CACACACACAAACCTTCCAAATCGTTAAACCTTTTGTCTAATGGTAAAAAAAAATAATACGACTTGTGAAGGGTGCTTGAGGATCTTAGCAGCTGTAGTGTCCATAAGAGTGAAAAGAGCAGCAACCACGTCGCTATATATGTAACTACGGCACTAAATATGGGTACAGTCCTCTTAATAAATGACTTAATGTTAAAACGACAGCATATGGACGATGTTAAAAATGACAGCACACAGACGATGTTAAAACGACAGCATATGGACGATGTTAAAAATGACAGCACACAGACGATGTTAAAACGACAGCATATGGACGATGTTAAAACGACAACATAGGGACGACAGCCATATTGCCCCTACGAATAATAACATCAACAAACTCGCTCTAAACAAAAAGAATCTACTCGTAATATTTCTCTTGATTTTTCCTTCTTTTTCTCTTCGTCCTGATGAGAGGAGTGGGTGATGGAGGAGGAGCTATCAGTCCCTGGAGGAGTGGGTGAAGGAGGAGGAGCAATCAGTCCCTGGAGGAGTATGTCCCCCTCCCACCCACTCGGCACCACTAGTCCTGGGTGCCGCCTGAGGGCCAACCAGTGCCTCGTTATCTCCCTTCTTTATTGACCTTCTCTCTCTCTCTCTCTCTCTCTCTCTCTCTCTCTCTCTCTCTCTCTCTTTACAGGCATTTTACATCTGAACAATTCCATTCGGTATAATCATTAAGTAATTCATTGGCTCTTATTATGTACACGTTGTTTGCTAAAGGGGACTTAACCAGAGAGAGAGAGAGAGAGAGAGAGAGAGAGAGAGAGAGAGAGAGAGAGAGAGAGAGAGAGAGAGAGAGAGAGAGAGAGAGAGAGAGAGAGAGAGAGAGAGAGAGAGAGAGAGAGAGAGAGAGAGAGAGAGAGAGAGAGAGAGAGAGAGAGAGAGGACCACGATGTCTGCTATCTTGAGTCACACACTGAGTCCACAGCCTCAGGGGTGAGAGAGAGGGCAAGGGACTCTGGGACTAGGGGCAATTGGGGCAGGGAGCAAGAGACAGTGGGAACTACTAAAATTAGGCCAAACGAGAACTGGGAGGCCAAAGGTACAAGGGAATTTAAAATTAGGGGAAAGAAGAAGGGGAAGGGGAAGTGAGTGGGGGGCAAGATAGATGGGTGGGTGAGTGGGAAAGAAATGAGGGAAAGCAGGACAGGAAAAAATGGATATGCTGAGAATCACACACACACACACACACACACACACATATACACACACACACACACACACACGCACAGACACACACAGACACACACACACACACACACACACACACACACACACACACACACACACACACACACACACACACACAGGGTAGGTAGTGGCTCCTTTTCTACCTGCTCAACATCAACTGAGGACAAGAACCACAAATTACGTCACAATGGTATAGTGTTATCATGACCTTCAACACCTATCCAGTTTACTGTCACTAAACACCTGTATTGTGCATTATAATATGTACTGAGCACCTGTGTATTCAATTATGCACTGAACACCTGTACTGTGCATTAAGCTATGTACGAAACACCTGTGCATTAAACCCAGGAACATAATAGTAACTGTTCCTGGGTGTTACTGTGACGTTTTTCATACTTATACACAATTACTTCAAGATAATTTGACTATCATGAATAAGAAAGACTCACGTATCAGGTTAATGAAGTACTTATTACTATTATTATAGGGTGGTAGTAATTTAGAGCGTAAGGGGGACGGGCAGGTGAGGACAGTCATACGCTGCGTAACAATTTGCGTAATTAACTTGAGGATAATCACGTAATTAACTATTATTTTCTTTTTGTATAGTATTATCTTCAGCCATAAATACTGTAATCTTATATCTCTTCGTAATTACCTTCAGTACTGGAAATCATCGTCATTGTGTGGAATTATTATAGCATAACAAATTAAACTCAAGTGTTGTCTTATACTAACCTAACCTAACCAAACTTAAACTCCCCTTAAGTATAGCATTAGGGTGATTAATCTTCAAGTGAAATAAGCTAAAAGGGGGGGGGGGGATCTTCAGGTGACCCTAACCACTTAAACAGTAGCGGTAAGAGAACTCCACCTTGACGGATGCCCCTTGAGGACTACACCTTAACACAACCTGGATATATTGAAACAGAAAACACAATTAACACAGATAATTACTTTATTTCTATTTATTTTTAAACAAGAAAATGGAGGACAAGAATAATAGAGAGGGAGAGAGGAAATAGAGGAATTAGTGTTATATTCAGAAGAGGATGAGGAGGAGGAGGAGGAGGAGGAGGAGGAGGAGGAGGAGGAAGAAGGGTAAAGAGGATGGTGGTGGTGTTTCCTTCTCCATGATGACGCGTGTTAAAGGTGAGGATACAGGTGGGAAGCGATATCAGTGGTGACCTTGGGAGCAGTCTCTCTCTCTCTCTCTCTCTCTCTCTCTCTCTCTCTCTCTCTCCATTCAGTCTATGTAATCCCCGTTTATTTAGCCGCTAATTGGAATCAGTTACCAAGGACGGGGACAGGAGATCAGTGTGGGTGGAGAGCAATACAGGGCGTTGGCGACCACCCCTTCGTCAGCACCAGACTCGTACACCCACACCATGAGACTTACATGGGGCGGAGATGAAACCAAGTACGCAAAAAAAAAAAACAGAAAAAACCCTCACAATTATCGAACCTTAAGTTGTATTACGTGAAGGACTCTACTTAAATATAAACTAAACTGACTTTGTATAATGTAACTCTAACGTAGGACTCGCCGTAAAGTCACAATGACATACACACGTATAGCCATTGCTTAAGTCCAGTGTGGTTCAGTTCACAAATTCCATTCGTGTAATAAACGTGAAATGTTAGATCAGTGTTATGCATTAGTTAACAGAATGATGATGATGTAATGATGATGATGGCGTTAATGATGATGATGATGATGATGATGGGGGTTATCTAAGCTAAATTCTTCGTCCACTGTAATTAGCTAACAGTTCGTAATCATGACTGTACCCTGACTGTACCGTGACTGTACCCTGAGTGTACCTGGATGTAGTTGCGTGTACCACCACTCACAGGAGCCGAGTTTTACCTGTAGGGAAAAGAGAAAGACACTTAATATTCTTCACTACACGAGTCTAAGTACCTCTCACTTCACCTCTCACTTCACCTCTCACTTCCCTCTCACTTGCCTCTCACTTAACCTCTCACAAAGGTAGACAAATCGTTTCAATATCATTCTATCTTTCACTGTAACTTTTTTTTCTTTATCAATTTATTCAATTTATTTTCCTTTCATTTATTTATTACTTTTTCTATGTGTTTTTATTTCCCTTATTTTTCTTTTTACCTTTTTCCTTCAATATTTTCCTTTCATTTATTTATTTCTTTTATCTTTTGTTATTTCCTTTACACAATATTTTTCCCAGCTACCATCTCCCGCCGCTGTGATGTTAAGCCGCTTATTTTTACCTATCCAGGGACGTATATCTTTAATCCTTTACTCTGGTCTATTTTTCCTATCACCTATCGATATAATCCTACGAGCCCATATCCTATAGGTCAAAGTTCAGAGGTCATAGGTATTTGGTACTGTCTTGTATGCTGCATTATGTCCCAATATGGTGGTATAGTGGGATGGATAATTTGAATTTCAGTCCTAATGTGACCTCTAACCTAACCTAACCACCTCACAAAGTCATGTTATTTTGTGGTAAAATTCAATTACGTTCATCACCAGGGCAGGGGGATGGAAGTGACGTCATTCCCTTCATATCAACGTAAGGTTAGGGGAGGTAATTTAGGGTCTGTTGGGTCTGGGGTCTGTTGGGTCTGGGTCCTGTTGGGTCTGGGGTCTGTTGGGTCTGGGGTCTGTTGGGTCTGGGGTCTGTTGGGTCTGGGTCTGTTGCAGGGTCTGGGTCTGTTGGGTCTGGGGTCTGTTGGTCTGGGGTCTATTGGGTCTAGGGGTCTGGGGTCTGTTGGGGTCCCAGGGTCTGTTTGGGTCCCCAGGGTCTGTGGGTCTGGAGTCTGTTGGGTCTAGGGTCTGTTGGGGTCTAGGGTCTGTTGGGTCTGGGTTCATTTGGTCTAGGGTCTGGCTGGGTCTGGGGTCCTGTTGGGTCTGGGGTCTGTTGGGTCTAGGGTCTGTGGGTCTAGGGCCTGGGTCTGGGGTCTCTGTGGGTCTAGGGTCTGTTGGGACTGGGGTCTGGTCTGTGGGTCTGGGTCTGTTGGGTCTGGGGTCTATTAGGTCTGAAATTCTGTTGGTCTAGGTCCTCTCTCTTCATGGGTCTAGGGTCTATTGGGTCTAGGGTCTGTGGGTCTGGGGTCTGTTGGGTCTGGGGTCTAGGGTCTGTTGGGTCTAGGGTCTGCTATTTTGGATCTGGGGTCTATTTGATCTACAGTCACTCGTGTTAGGTTAGGTTAGGGTGACAGCAGGAGACGCAGACAGAGATAAAACTTTCATATATAAACGAGTAACTTTTCCTTCATTACAGACATTAAAGTAGCACCATTCTACCTCTCCGCCCTCCCTCACTCTACCTCCACAGCCTCTAGCTTCCCTCACTCTACCTCCCCAGCCTCTAGCTTCCCTCACTCTATCTCCCCGGCCTCTAGCTTCCCTCACTCTACCTCCACAGCCTCTACCCTCCCTCACTCTCCACCAACAATCACCACCACTCACCACCACCATCACCACCAGTCTCCCCAAACCAACAGGATTACGACACCTCACCTGGGATCAACACTCACCTGAGCTCAGTAAAGAAAATATATATACGGAGGAAAAATGCTCCTTATGCCTTCAAATACAATCATCACCTGTACAACAATCATCACCTGTACAACAATCATCACCTGTACAACAATCATCACCTGTACAACAATCATCACCTGTACAACAATCATCACCTGTACAACAATCATCACCTGTACAACAATCATCACCTGTACAACAATCATCACCTGTACGACAATCATCACCTCTACAACAATCATCACCTGTACAACAATCATCACCTGTACGACAATCATCACCTGTACAACAATCATCACCTGTACAACAATCATCACCCGTACAACAATCAATAACTCACCTGTCATGTCTACCTGCCAACTCTCCATACCTGTCAATATTTGTTTTTCACCCCTTTTGATACCTGTACTGACACGACCAACACCCAGGTAAGTCCATCATTACCTGTGTCTCTACCTGTTACTCCACTTTCACCTGTTACTCCACTTCTCATCCAGATATATCGTACGACACACACACACACACACACACACACAGATATAAACGTTTCAAGGATCATGGCAACCTGGATATAGGAGGTAGTATGTGCTGCGTCGCATTGCGTGTTTACTGTAGTGCACCTCCCCCCTCTCTCTCTAAGTATAGTGAAGGCTTCTATTGGAACTTTCTTGGAACATAGTGAGAAAGAGAGAGGGAGGGGACTACCACCCATTCACGATATGTCCAGGCTATCCATGTACACAAGGTCGTCGGCAGCAACCAAATTGACGTTTGTGTGGAGTGCAACTTGAATACTGTCGTCACGCTCGACAAACTACACACTCAGAGGATATTGGCAGATGTTGAGTCTGCTTGTGTCGTGGCGGAGGACAAAAATGAGCATCAAAGGCCCCCCTCGAAGATCAAACACAAACAGAGACTATCGAAATGCGCTGGAGAAATGTTACTTTTGATCAGGAAGGAAGGAAAAAAAAAAACTAATGGTTGTTAATAGTGATGGGACATAGGTGCGCCAGGTGAGGTAATTATGGCTACTGGAGGTAATATGATGGAGGGCAGCAACACCAGGTAGTGAAGTATCGTGTTTGATTGATGGGGAAATGTTGCTTTATTATGTGTACCTGTCGTGATGTTTTTTTTTATTTCATTGTTTTCACTCTGTCTGTCTGTCTGTCTGTCTGTCTGTCTGTTGCCATTGTACCTTGAACCTACAGTGCCTCCCATTGTATCATCAAAGGCTCTCGATTTTTGGGAGGATCACTCGAATATGTAGGGGTGTGTGTGTGTGTGTGTGTGTGTGTGTGTGTGTGTGTGTGTGTGTGTGTGTGTGTGTGTGTGTGTGTGTGTGTGTGCGCGCTCGCCTCACCACACATACACCTCATCTGCCTCACCACTCCCCAGCATGACAAGTGAAGTTCAAGGTGTTTCTATTTTAAGATCACTAATTAAAATACCATCACGTTGTTGCCTTATTGCCTCAACTGGGAGGACGAGCAGCCGCCACTCCTGCAACCAGAAATATATCGATTTTTTTTAACATATCTGTGACTTTTAAAGGTATATTTTGTCCATAAAAACTTCAAATCAACTCATATTTTCCAATTAGATTCATTAAATATTCATAAACACCTGATTATACTAAATACTTATCTAGATTACTAATCAGAAAATTGTATCACTCACACGTAAGGTAAATCAATCCATTTATTCTTCCCAGGATGATGTACCAGGTCTGATTCTAATTGGCAGATGTAACTTACTCTACGTCAATAGGATTAATTTTGATTGGCTGAGTAAAGTCATCACGTTAAATGGGAAACATATTTGATTGGCATAAAATTACAGGTGAGTGATTTAATTATAGGGTTTTGGTTTAGTATTGGAGTAGAGAGTCGACTACCTCCTCTTAGACCCGTCCACATTCCTTGCCCCTCCACACTCCTTGCCCCTCCACATCCCACATCCCTTGCCCCTTGCCCCTCCTTTCCCCCAAAATAGAAGTGAAATACCCTTCCAATTTGTGCAGAAGGAGACCACAGCTATATCTTCCTTCTCTGCCTCCTTCCCCTTCCTTCTCTTCTTCTTCCTCCTCCTCCTCACCTCCTTCTCTTCCTTCCCTAAGCCAACCTCCTCCTTTTGTTCCTCCCTCTCCTCATTTTTCCTCTCCTTAGCTAACCTCCTTTTGTTCCCCTTCCTCATCTTCCTCTTCCCCCTCTTTCCCTTCCTCCTCCTCCTCCTCCTGCAGGTCACTCCACTGCTCCTTTGAGAGTGGAAACACACAAAGTTACGTGAGTTTATGTCTAAAGTTGCATGTTGATAATTTTTTACAAGTTTTAAGAGAGAGACGTGCAGGACGTGAAGAAACAAGGTACCATTGTGTAAGAACTGTGTAAGGAAAAAGGTACCATTGTGTAAGAACTGTGTAAGGAAAAAGGTACCATTGTATTAACTGATACAATAAATTAGGCAAATTACAGAATAAAATTTGTAAAAATTAATCCGCTATAATGAAGTAGTAAATAAAAGAGAACGAAAATCTCTCTCTCTCTCTCTCTCTCTCTCTCTCTCTCTCTCTCTCTCTCACATAATTAAGGAAGAGTTATGACTCGTATACCTCCGACCATACACCCCGACCATACTTCCTGACCATACTTCCTGACCACACACCCCGACCATACTCCTCTACCTGACCACACACCCCGACCATACTCCTCTACCTGACCACACACCCCGACCATACTCCTCTACCTGACCACACACCCCGACCATACCCCTCTACCTGACCATACACCCCACCATACTACCTGACTATACACCTCCGACCATACACCCCGACCATACTTCCTGACCATTCCTGACCATACTTCCTGACCACACCCCCCGACCATATCCTCTACCTGACCACACCCCGACCATACTTCCTGACCATACACCTCCGACCATACTCCTCTACCTGACTATACACCTCCGACCATACACCCCGATTCCACTTGCGTCAGTTGTTGTCGAAATTTGAAGTGGAAAAATTATGCCGAGCTAATCCTGACACAAAGCTTTTTTGTTCATTAATAATCCCATGTGTGTGTGTGTGTGTGTGTGTGTGTGTGTGTGTGTGTGTGTGTGTGTGTGTGTGTGTGTGTGTGTGTGTGTGTGTGTGCTCAAGTGTATTGTAGACCTTAAGTAGCGCCAGGTATCACAGGTAAAAAGGCAATTAACCCAACCCACAAACATGATATAAATGTAATAAACTGTAACACAAACCTAACCTAACCTAACCTCAAATGTCACAATATTCCAACACCATTTTAACCTTTTTTTTTATACTGAACTAGGGAAAATTCGACGGCTCTTCACCCCTTTTGTGCGTTAAAAAAAATATAGGTCTGGGTGTTTCCCCCTCTAACACAACGTAAAAACCCAAACATTTTAATTCCGACTGTCACATTTGAGTTGCAACTGGAATTCGTCATTTTAATTGCAAGTACAGATGGCACCGAGCTATCCACCTTCCACCTTTAATCTCAACACACGGAAATAGTTATATTTTATTATGGTTTATATAAAGGTAAAATATACAGGTGAGGTAATAAGGAGGTACTCACTCGTCCCTCAGTAAATGTGACAGTGTGGGGTCATCCTCGTCAGCGTGTGGTAGTGTCAGTCATGCACCACCACCGAACTCACCTCACTTCCTGGTTGTCAAAACGCACCTGCCCTACCTGATATTATTATTTATTTTTCTTTATCTCTGGTATTTTATTTTGGTGGTGAGTGACGCTGTAGCATTGTGTCGGTAAAGGTGAAAGTTCTCGTGGTATGAGCCTTTACCTGAGTTGACTCCCCCAGTCCCCTCGAGGGTAGACAGGCCATATAGGAAAGTAATTGGATGGCTTTGACAAACGCTTAAACCGCCTCTTATTGAACCTGTAAAACATTATTCATAAGGCGAGAACATCAAAGCGTGAGAGGGGCGAGTCGGTTGAGTCTCTGTGTACGAGTATTTCCCTGACTTAACTATAGGTTGTCAGTATAGTAGTGTATAGTAGTGTATAGTAGTGGTCGCCCTTATCACCATCTTGTGAGGCTCAGTTGGACTTTGAAGCTCCTGTGAGGTGATTTAAGGTAAAGGGATACTTGTGTGTTTTGATAATCTGTGAGGTGTGTTAGCGGGCCTGACCTCCCCTTACAGAACACGAACCTTATTAGTGTGGGAACAGAATAGGTCACTTTGCCTAGATCACAACAACAATAACATAGACAGCAAAACCTACAACAGCAACAACAACTAAAGAGGAACAACACAACACAACACAACACAACACAGCCACACTACAGAGCTTACAGTCAACCAACTTTCCTCTTGAATACTAAGACAGCTTAACACGGCTCCTGCCATCACAACAATTAATAGCCTCAGGAACACACATGAGAATTTAATAGCTTCCTCATATAAGCATTGGTTCTCGTCAAGATTAATCCCCAAGTTTGTTTCACCTTATAATTAATCACCTTAACGGCTAACCTTACCAGACCAGCAATCAGTATTATAAGACAATCAGTATATATTTTGCCCCTCTTGTAAACAAACGCTACAGGTTGAAGCTAATCCCGTGTGTCTCTGTTAAAATCAGTAACAATGATGAGGGAGTTTTATACGGTTCACCCCGGCGGGAGATGTGTAGCTGCCAGGATGAAGGAGTCTAACATAAAACATTCAGTAAGTCTTAAGAGATCCAGGAAGGTGATCTTAATTGCGATTTATAGGTGTTTATATCACAAGGAGAGCTGAGTCACGTCATTCAGGTTCCCATAATGCCTTCACGGGTCGCCAGTCATGTTATCCCTGTGTTCCTCTCACTGACGCCGTCTAGCTAACTCTTATAAAAGGTAATTACTTTCCAAAATGCATAATTATGACACCAACAAGACTTTTGATTTCTCACCAGTCAATAGAAATTACCACACACTAAGACTGAGTGTATGTTATGAGGCCCTCCAGCAGTGTGAGTCTCGTGTGAGTGTATGTTATGAGGCCCTCCAGCAGTGTGAGTCTCGTGCAGCTTCATTAACTTATACATCTAAGAGCTTAACACTTGTCCTCCTCGATGCTTTTTTGTTTTCATCCTGGAGTTATTTAGTCCGTTTATAAACCTTCCTGTCAGCAGAAACAATTGGTGTATTTCTTTGTGTGTTTATCATGCCTCAGGTCGGAGGGTACAGTCTTCCTCATGTATTTAAGTAGTGATGATAAGACTGGGATTATCTTTACCCCCCCCCTCTCTCTCTCTCTCTCGGGCGCGCACGTACACACACACACACCCCCTTTCTGTTCGAGGAGCTTTACTTTCTGTGTAATCAGCTGGTGACTTGAGAGAGGAATGGCTCCGTGCTGCAGACAAAGGGGCCGCCGGGATGATGTTGGTCTCTCAGGAGGTTGTGTCGTCCCCCTGAGTAACTCTTAAGGGTTCCTCCACACTTATCTCCACCACTGAGCACTTACTCCACCACTGAACACTTACTCCACCACTGAACACTTCCTCCACCACTGAACACTTACTCCACCACTGAACACTTACTCCACCACTGAACACTTACTCCACCACTGAACACTTCCTCCACCACTGAACACTTCCTCCACCACTGAACACTTACTCCACCACTGAACACTTCTCCACCACTGAACACTTCTCCACCACTGAACACTTCCTCCACCACTGAACACTTCCTCTCCACCACTGAACACTCTCCACCACTGAACACTTCCTCCACCACTGAACACTTCCACCACTGAACACTTCCTCCACCACTGAACACTTCCTCCACCACTGAACACTTCCTCCACCACTGAACACTTCCTCCACCACTGAACACTTACTCCACCACTGAACACTTACTCCACCACTGAACACTTCCTCCACCACTGAACAGTTCCTCCACCACTGAACACTTACTCCACCACAGACGAACTTTACCTCCGAACTGAAATTTAAGTTACCACACAGAATCGTTTAGTTTTCTTATCACGTGAAGATTGGTCCTCTTACATTGGCTTATATTATCTGAAGATTTTTTTTTCTGAGGCAGTTTCCTCTACTACCTGTTGTAAAAATTAAGTTAAATATGTTATAACCGGCCAGGTACAGTACTTAATGACCTTGTGTGTGTGTCGCTACTCCCTTATCCACCTTCCCTCCCTACCTTCCCTTACTCCCCTCATTTACTCACTCCCTGACCCCCTTTCCCTCAATTACCCTCTTTCCTCCACTCCACTACCCTACCTTACTCCCCTTCCCTCCCTCACACCCTTACCCACCCTCCACTCCCTTACCCACCCTCCACTCCCTTACCCACCCTCCACTCCCTTACCCACCCTCCACTCCCTTACCCACCCTCCACTCCCTTACCCTCCCTCCTTTACTCCCCTACCCTCCCTCACTCACGCCCTTCACAACATGTCCTCAGAGGCAACTTGAAGACCGAAGATGATTTAATTAGCAAGTAGGAGAAGTCGTCCAGTCAAGATTATTAGGAAGGTCGATGGTGGAGGGAGGGAAGGAGGGAAGGAGGGAAGGAGGGAGGGAGGGAAGGAGGGAAGGAGGGAGGGAGGGACGACACGTGATGCTGGAGGGAGAAGGTGAGAGAAAGTCTAGGTTCAGGGGCTCTGTCTACCTCACACGCTGTAAACACAAACAATGACGTAATACTTTTTTGTAAACACGATGCGCCCTCTAGCCCAAGCAGTGTGTGTGTGTGTGTGTGTGTGTGTGTGTGTGTGTGTGTGTGTGTGTGTACCGCGCCTGCCTGTTGTGTCTTAGTTAAATGAGATACACAGCGCAGAATTTTCCGTAAACTCGGTAAATTTGTTTCATCGACTCAATGTGGGGAGGTGATGGCAGGTGGCGGCCCCATGAAACATGTACTGAGGTGTAAATAAACCGCAGGTGCCAGGGCCAGCAAGGTGTGTCAGCCAGGTGTGTCAGCCATGTGTGTCAGCAAGGTGTGTCAGCCAGGTGTCAGCTGGTCGCCTCTCTGACACTACCAAATTTGAAGTTTTGGAAATTTAATAGAAAAATAGAACGATGTGGCGTCTGGTACCTGTTGATGTTCCTCCCAGGTAAACAAAGGTGGTGGGTGAGGCGTCAGGTGTGGTGAGAATACCTGATACTAATAAATGTAAGTGTTAAAGATTCTACAACACAAACAACAGCCGGGATACAGGCAAGGTTTTATATTTTCAATTGTTTAGCGAATTGTTTTATATCCAATCTCTGATCTTGTGGTGGTGGTGGTGGTGGTGTTAGAAAGAAGCCTAAAACTGTATATTGAAGGAACATTATTTAAGAGATCAGGAGACTAAGAGACCAGGTGACCAGAAGACCAGGAGACCAAGAGACCGGAAGACCAGGAGACCAGGAGACCAGGAGACCAAAAGACCAGAATTATGTTAGTTAATGTTAAGTCACACACTACGTTCTTCCTGACCGGTAAAAACTTTTCCTCGTCGTCAGCCTCTGCCTCACTCAGCACCGCCAGACTCCTCGTCTTCGCTCTTGACATCGCTGAGGAAAAATAGGAGAGGGAGGGTTTTTGCGTCTCACCTTTCCAATTGTAAGAGGTTGACCTCCACAGACGAGTGGTTCAAGGAGGGAGGTGTTTCATAGACACGAAGGGGGGTTGGCGTTTCCAGGAACAGGACCTTAACAGAAAAACGTTTCCAGGAGCTGGTCCTCAGCATAACATTTTCAGATATTGGTCCTTCACTGGAAGTTGGGCCTCACAGGGAGCGTTCCAGAAGGCAATCAGCAGCAGAAAAAAAAGTGAATCATTCTTCACCCAAGACTGTCTCCAAGAGCAGGTCCTTCAGGAGGATTACTTCAGGGAGTTGGTCCTTTAAGAAGAGTATTTGAAGGAGGTGGACCTTCATAGAGGAAGTATCCGAAAGCTGATTCTTCACAGTGAAATGTTACTGGGAGGTGAACCTTAACAAGGAGGGATTTAAAAAAATGGTCCTTCACAGAAACGCAGATCTGGATGTTTGTCTTCCACAAGGAATGTTTACAGAAGCTGATCCATCACAGCGCGGATTCTTAAGCAAGTTATTTCCAAAGGCTAGTCTTCCCGAGAGAGTATTCCAGTAGCTGATACTTCACATGATAGTGGAGGTCCTGGCAGTTGATGCTTCAGTCCAAGAGTTGGTTCCTTACAGAAGACACCAAACATGTATAAACTCAGAGTCTTCGTGTAAGAGCAACTCCAGTATCTGGTGCATCAAAGAGTGTTTCCAAGAGCAGGTTCTTCACAGATATTTTCCAGTAGCTGGCTCTCCAAAGACGAATGTCCTGGATCTGCTCTTTAAAGGGAGTGTTGCCGGGGAGATCCTGCATAGAGTAATTCCAGCGGCTGGAGTCTCATACAGAACGCTTCTGAAAGACGGTTCTTCGGCGAACAATGTTTTCAGACATTGATCCATCAGCTGGAACTGCTCCCGGGACACGCAGTAGTCCGTCACAGAAAAGAGTGTCCAAGATTCGATACTATTCTTCGTAACAACCATTTCACACAACACAGATCACAGCTCCTCCTCCACGCTGACACCTCCAAGGGATCACCTCACTAGACACAAGGAACAAGGAACATTGTGAACGATTATTGTACCATCAGGCCCTCCTGTGATCTCTCGTCTCGTCTCGTCTCGTCTCGTCTCGTCTCGTCTCCAGTCGTCAACCAGGAGCAGGGGAAATAAATACCTAATTAATCATCAGGCATTAGAATCTCTCCTACCATTGTCATTTTGTTTTTATCATTAATCTCTTACGTGACCCACCTGCGTATTCTTCGTCTGATAAATACGGTAATAAGAGACCAGACCAAACTACATCACAGTGGTAAAGGATCTAATGAACAAGGCGGTGAGTGGACTTGGGGCCTCACAGGTAAACTCTCTCACCGCCCAGAACACAAACACACATAATAAACTTCACTTGTTAGTCACTTTAATTGCGAGGTTAATTAAGTTGACCAATGGTATATAATATTTAATTTAATTGTATCATGACGGGGAACTCTGCGAAGGTATCACTGGCAGACCTTACCTAGATAAATTATGAAGATTTAGGAGGTGTGTGTGTGTGTGTGTGTGTGTGTGTGTGTGTGTGTGTGTGTGTGTGTGTGTGTGTGTGTGTGTGTGTGTGAAGGGATGTGGTTGCTACGCTCTCGTTTTGCCCTAAAATGTCAATATTTACCCTAATTTAATATACTGCCCCCCTCACTTACCCTTCCTCTGGGATGATAATGAATAATAATTAACAGCTTTTCAAGGATCACTTCCACTAATTACACCTTCTCTTTAGCGTGGGAGAGAGATAGACAAAAAATAATTATCACAATCTTACAAATCGACTTTATTACGTGCCCAGGTATTCGAGGTAAGTTTTAAAACATCACATAATTAAAACCAAACTTTTAAACGTGTTCATGTGAGGGAGGGAGAGAGGGAGGGAGAGAGGGAGGGTGGGTAGTCAGGTAAAGTTTGTTTATCAGGTGTGTAGAGCCGGAGAAAACTTAAGCTTGTTTTACTCACTCGTTTACATAATGTTGTTGCGTTGTTTTTCTCGTCTTGGTGATTTTCCCAGGAACTCTCACAGTCTAATGCGTCTTGTGTGATGAGAAAACTTGATCATTAGTCTCTTGATTTGGTGTTATCTCTAAGCGTGTGTCTGTATATGCCTGCACGCTCCCTACACCTTGTAACTTATATTAACTTTACAACTATAGTCCTTATCTATCTTATCTTTATCTATCAATTTATCTTCGTCTTGTTTTCATCTAACAACTTGTCCGAATGAAAACAAGAGACTGTCACACCCAATGGACTGTATATTAACTGGCGGAGAGGATTAGTAACTGTCCCTCAAAGAAACAGTCAAGACGATGGGACGGAGAGACCAAAAGAAAAGACAAGGTATGGAATGGAGATGAACTAAGAGACAGAAAGCAAATAATGGACGTGGGAGCGACTGTCCAACCAGGGGAGGATGGTGTTAAAAAATTTATTATATTCAATGGTTAAATAATAATAAAAGTGACGCCTAAGACAAAACACCAGAGGAATTTTTTATAAGTATTCACGTATGCAAATTTAAATAACTCCAAATCCTTTTAGTTTGCGGTAAGAAAGTCAAAATAAATAGATATATCCAGCGCTCTCTACAGGATCACGGGTATAACGCATCATATTGTGAAGACTCGGGGAAAAAAATGTGGCCAGGGGGTAAGTTCCGGCGTGTGTGGCAGCCAGTAGTAGTTTTTGACGAGCCTTGTGATACTGACGGAAATGGGAATTACCTTTAGAATATATTTAACGTCTCTGATGGTGAGTTAGTGTAAGGTTGGATTGTCATGAACTTAGGTATTTTACTCTCATTTTGCTTTTAAATTTGGCGTCGGCGAGATTGAGTTTGTCTGATGGTGAGTGGACAACCTGAGAAGCTTTGGATCCTAATAAAACACATACCATCATTATTTATCGTCGAGCATCAACAAAACACAACACTCCATAAAAATCCTCAGATATTATTTGTATAAACTGAAAACAAAACAAAACAATTTTCAGTCGTTTTACGTAAAGACCACAAAATTATTCAACCGGTATCGAAAAGGTGTTCTGGGATTTTGTATGTAAATCCCTCTGTGTGTGTGTGTGTGTGTCTGTGTGTGTGTGTGTGTGTGTGTGTGTGTGTGTGTGTGTGTGTGTGTGTGTGTGTGTGTGTGTGTGTGCGTGTGTGTGTGTGTTTTAAGAGACTTTACAGGACCACACAAGGACGGGCTGGTGGATGATTGCTAATATTCTCTGCTTATTACTATGCAAATGAACTTGTATAACCAATGCCTTACCTGAGCTTTACCTCTATCTCACCCTTACCTCCCTACACCTCTCTACCTCAGCCTTACACACGAGAACAAGAACACATTGCACTGGAGAACAAGAACATTACAAAGAGAGAACAATAACATACCCTCTATGTTGATGAAGAACAGGTGTGAATATCTGTCTCTCCACTACAGGTAAACTCGAACGCTAATTACCTGAAAAATAAAAGAACAAACATTAAAAACCTTTGAAGGAAAATATACAAAAGGCTATTATTACTTTTACTTAACATTGACAAACACTGACGTAATTTATTTAATGGCTTCGTTCAGTTTATTATTATTATTATTATTTAGACATCAAGATCATCAGTGTATACCATGTGTACTGCCTGTGTTGCCATGTGTACTGTCTGTGTTGCCATGTGTACTGTCTGTGTTGCCATGTGTACTGCCTGTGTTGCCATGTGTACTGTCTGTGTTGCCATGTGTACTGTCTGTGTTGCCATGTGTACTGTCTGTGTTGCCATGTGTACTGTCTGTGTTGCCATGTGTACTGCCTGTGTTGCCATGTGTACTGCCTGTGTTGCCATGTGTACTGTCTGTGTTGCCATGTGTACTGTCTGTGTTGCCATGTTACTAGTTGTTGTGATTAAAGTCTAAGGAAACAGAGCTGGTCGAGGCCACAACAGACCAACACGGGCCACGATAGACCTTGAAGAGCTCACTTAAGATATGAAATAATTCCCTGAAAAAAAGATCGATCTCTTGATGAATAGATTAGATTAAAAAGTTTGAAGCGATTAATGAGCTGAGACGAGGTTCAGGGCAGAGAATAATGGAAGCTTATGGTGATTTAAGATATGTATATGGAAGCTGTACTACCGATATACTACACTTAACTATCCTCAAATCACCAACATTAAAATTAGGTACCTATTAGCCGCTGGGTGGACTGTGGGTGCCCTGACCCTCATTATCACAACAAGAACATGTATTTGGGAGGCACCAGAGGCAGTGAATAGAGAGGCAAGTAACCTGAAGTGACATAATAAGGACAGTGGCCATCAAGTCATGAAGGTTTCTTGATTCACTCAATGGTTATCCAGTAGTGTCTAGTAGATCAACTGGCTGGAAAACCTGACCCATCTTCTCATATCGCCTCAGTGAATGGTAACAGCTTAATAATGAATAAGGACCATGAAATAATGAGTAAAATGTATGAAATAATGAATCAAATACCCAATATCAATGAATAAAAACTGCCCACCCCACCCCACCCCACCCCACCCAAATCCCACCCCACCCCACCCAACCCCACCCAAACCCCTACCCCCACCCCACCCCACCCCACAACACCCCACCCTTTCCCACCTCACCTCACCCTTCCCCACCCCCACTTACTCACCTCCCCACTCCACCTCACCCCACCCCACCCCACACAGACTACCCTGCTGCATGTCTCTGGCCTGATGATGAAATCAGCCATCTTCATGCCTTTTAACTCTCCAGAAGGATCTCGGATATCCCAGGCGGCGGGACTCTGCCTCTCTTCAGTGTTAATGAATAATATATTTCCATTACCCACATTTAATAATTTTAATTTTCTGTTTTAGTGAAGGAAGGGTAAGGGGAAGAGGGAGAGAAGGGGTAAGGGGAAGAGGGTGAGAAGGGGGGGAAGAGGGTGGAGAAGGGGGTAAGGGGAAGAGGGTGGAGGAGGAGTAAAGGGGAGAGGGAGGGAAGGGTGAAGGGGGAGAGGGTGGAGGAGGGGTAAAGGGGGAGGTCCTAGGGTGAGGGGGGAAGAGGTAGGGTGTGAGTGTCGCTCTAAAGATGCTGTTTACACTAGTAATATTATGATAGTACAGT